TGCTGAATGGGATCATTGTTTATGGATTTGTTGACAAGGTAAAGCGATTGAAAACTCGAAAACGAGTACACTAGATAGCGTGTGTTTGCCGTGTGTTTCGAAGTAGCCTTTTAGTAGCTCTAGCCTCTTTTCTAGGTTTTCTCTACGTCATTCCTTGTGCAATTTTTGACTGGTGGCGGGATTTTGGGCCTCTACTTGTCCCTCGTTTTGTTGGTAGGGAAATTCATGCGCGACATGGCCACGGGTTCGATGCCGGTAAGCTTTATTGTTTATTTGTTTGTTTATTTATGTAATAGAGTTGAAATTTGAAGTTGTTTATCGAAATTTGAAGTTTTTATTTATAATTAATGCTAGCAAGAAGAATTTGAAAGATATTCAGTCAGCCAAAGCGTTTGGCTTACTGGACTGAGAATACGGTAGCTTCACTGACGGGATTTCGCTCACTGATGGGCTTAACGGTTACTATAAGGATATTAGAAGCTACAGTATAGATCTTATGCTATTAAATTACAAGTTACAGTATCCTATTACTACAGTAATCAAGCTAGACTTGTAGGTAAAGATTTTGAAAGATATTCAGTCATGTCGCCTCTTGCATACTGTGAAAGTGATGCAAACGCATCTAATTAGCACTGTAACCCTGTAACTTGCGGTTTACTGTAAAGCGAGAATACGTATGGGGATACCGTAATTTACAGTTTCCTTTCAATAACTTTTTTTTTTTTTTTTTTTTTTTTTTTTTTTTTTTTTTTTTTTTTTTTTTTTTTTTTTTTTTTTTTTTTTTTTTTTTTTTTTTTTTTTTTTTTTTTTTTTTTTTTTTTTTTTTTTTTTTTTTTTTTTTTTTTTTTTTTTTTTTTTTTTTTTTTTTTTTTTTTTTTTTTTTTTTTTTTTTTTTTTTTTTTTTTTTTTTTTTTTTTTTTTTTTTTTTTTTTTTTTTTTTTTTTTTTTTTTTTTTTTTTTTTTTTTTTTTTTTTTTTTTTTTTTTTTTTTTTTTTTTTTTTTTTTTTTTTTTTTTTTTTTTTTTTTTTTTTTTTTTTTTTTTTTTTTTTTTTTTTTTTTTTTTTTTTTTTTTTTTTTTTTTTTTTTTTTTTTTTTTTTTTTTTTTTTTTTTTTTATTTTTTTTTTTTTAATTTTTCCCCTTTTTCCTTTTTTTTTTAATTTTTTTTTTTTTAAATATTTATTTTTTTAAAGCTGTCAATGTAAGTAAAAGTCTCCTAAACATTAAAGATTGAAATTTTTAGAAAATCATGTTCGATCAACTGCCGAATGTGGACGATATTCTCCAAATGTGCTTAGATATCATGCTGGTAGGTTTTTTAAAACAAAAATCATAACAAAACACCCTATTTCCCATTAAACTATAATATTAAAACAAAAATTTTCAAGAAAAACAAAAACATTTGCGTTCGGGGGGAATCGAACCCCCGTCGAATGCTTGGAAGGCATCCATGCTGACCATTACACCACGAACGCACATTGGAGAGGAGGGGAAAAGGGGATATGAAGGGATGAGGGGGAAAAGGCGCTTCTAAACTCTTTTCTGTCAGAAAAATTTCTGTTTGCTTTCATTTAATGAAAATTCGTTAAATAACTAGTTTTGAAAATAAAATAGCAAATAAACAGCAAATGGAATCTAGAATTTTATCAAGAAAAATGTTCAAACTTTGATAAAATTTAGGACTTTTATGGAAATGAGGGGCAAAAGGCGCTTCTAAATGACTCTTTTCTGCAGAAACATTTGCTTTGCTTGCGTTTTCTTTCAATTTAATGGAATTTCCTTTTGAAAACTAGTTTTGAAAATAAAATATCAAATAAATAGCAAATGGAATCTAGAATTTTATCAAGAAAAATGTTTAAACTTTGATAAAATTTAGGACTTTTATGCGTTAGAGAAAAAGTTATTGAAGATTTTTGTTTGGGTAAATCGATAGTGGGCAATCAAAAGAATTCCCCAAAGTAAAAATGGATCGAATTTCATTCAAATCGCATTCAACTTATCCAGTTTTTGATATTCACTTCAATTTAAATCGATTTCAGTTCAAATTTCATTCAATTTAAAGCGATTTCAGTTTAAATGCAATTCAACTTATCTAGTTTTTGATATTCAATCCAATTTAAACCTAATTCAATTTAAAACGAATTCAATTTAAATCGAATTCAATTTAAAACGAATTCGCTTTAAATTTCGTTCAATTTAAATCGAATTCAATTTAAATCGAATTAATTTTAAATCGAATTCAGTTTAAAACCAATTCAGTTTAAATCCAATTCAACTTATCCAGTTTTCAGTAATATTCAATTCAATTTAAATCCAATCTATATTTAATTCTGAAACATTCAGGTCCGAGAAGCGGGTGAAATGGAATTAGAGGAGGAGCTCTTCGGGCGTTTAATTTTCCTCTTCCGCTCACCAGCTCTTCTCATCAAAATGACAAGGGATAAAGGAAGAGAAACATAAAAATCGATAACTGAATTTGATGTGATATTTTTGATTTGCTCTTTGATTTGATACTTTGATTTGATCTTTGATTTGATCTTTGATTTGCTCTTTGGTTTGCTCTTTGATTTGATCTTTGGTTTGATCTTTGATTTGCTCTTTGATTTGATCTTTGATTTCATCTTTAATTTGATATTTGATTATTTTGAATACTTTAATTTGATCTCATGATATTTCCCCGAAGCTTTAATCGACTAGTCTTTCCCAAATCTTTTTCAAATGTTTTGAAAGGATAAATCTTTATATAAATATTTATAAAAGTGCTTTAAAAACTTCAAAATCGATCTCGAAATTCGAGTTTTGTAATTCATAAAACAATTCTCGAATTCTCGAATCAATTCTCGAACTTAGAGAGATCAAGATTCAATTAGAGATTAAAATTTTCATTTGGAGTGCTTTCAAAATGTAAAATTTCATCTCTTAAACTTGATTCTTTAGAAATTACAGTTACCATTTATGTTTAAATCAATTCGGCTTGATTTCGATTGAGTAAGTTCGGGTTTAATTTACGTTCCCGCCACGTTGAAACAAGTTGAAAAAAGTTGAAACAGGTTGAAACAAGTTGAAACAAGTTAAGCAAAGTTGGGCTCGGTTAGTCGCAGGTTCGAAGTTATCCCAAGCGTCGAGCAATGTAACGCACCGTGCTCGTTGAAATTAAACTACGGGTTGACTTGCACATAAACAGCCATTAAAATCTGCAGCCATTAAAATCGGTTATTTTCTTTCATTGACCAGCATCTCCACAAAATAATGATCATTGATCAAATAATGATCTTTCAAGAGCTATGCTTAAATTAAGAATTTGAAGTCCTGTTTTGGCATTAGGTAGTTTAGTTTAGTTTATTAGGATATTCAGCCTAGATTAGGATATTCAGTCCAGATTAGTTTAAAGCCTAAACCCGAACTTAAGTATATACTGGTTTATTCAACCAATCCAAGCAATCAATCCAAGCAATCGATCACAATACAGAAACAAATCCTATTGAAACCCTAACCGAAACTAAACGGTTAGGGTTTCAATAGGTTTAGCTTCGGTTAGGGTTTCAATAGGATTTGTTTCTGTATTGTGATCGATTGATTGGATTGGTTGCTTGGATTGATTGCTTGGATTGGTTGCTTGGATTGGTTGAATAAACCAGTATATACTTAAGTTCGGGTTTAGGCTTTAAACTAATCTAGGCTGAATATCCTAATCTAGACTGAATATCCTAATCTAGACTGAATACCGTAATCCAGCCAATCCGGACTGAATACCTTAATCTAGACTGAATATCCTGATCTAGACTTCTTAGTTCATAGTTGTCGTTCTTAGTTCTTAGATTAGTTTATTAAGGCTTTTCATATAGCTAATATTTAGCTACACTTACTAGATCTTCTTACCGTAAATACTGTAATAGTACCCCACCCCCCTCGTACAGTCGCGTAGTCGTAGTCGTAAGTTTTTTCGTATTTCATTTTTTTCAAAGTGCTCATACTTTCAAAAAATGTGTCTTTAGTATGAAAAAATAGCCCAGAATCTCAGCTTTTTTTTGATACCTAAGCGCGCATTGTAGCATAAACCAGTGTCAAGAAAAACTTGTTCAAAGCTAGACCGCACCATGATTATTGGGCAGGGGTACTATTACAGGATTTACGGTAACTTCTTATTGGAATTCTTATTGAACTATAAAAATGACATCATCTGTTAAAGATCTTTAAATATCAAAGATCAAAAATTAAAGGATCTCTTAAAAGGAAAAAGATCGATCTCTTTCTTTTCAAAGATCACCATTTGACCGTTATCGTGTAGAACTATTTATTTAGAACATTCAAAAACATATAAATCTTCCCGTTTATTGAGGAAGTTTTTAGAAAAGCACTTAAGAATGGCCAAAAAAAGGACTGTTTTTTGAGTTTTCGAGTTTTCGAGAGGTTAAAGAGGGGGAAGTTCTTCAATCAAATAGAGATCAAAAAAAGAATGAAAGGGATTGGAAAAAAAAAAGAGCAATAAAGGGTATTGTCTGATGGGAAAGGACCCGCGAATACCCTTCAATAATCGGGTAAATAAACCGCGGAGAAGACCGGCCCACCAAGAGTATTCTATAAAGGGGATGGACTCAAAGAATCATTGCTTTGACTATCCTAAGGCTTTGGCTTTGGCTTTGGCTTTGGCTTTAGCTATTGTGTTACCGTAACCTTTACTTTTCATTAGACAAATCCACAGATTGTATCGACTTTTTTAGTTCAAATTCGAGCCAAAGCAGCTACCGTAATCTACCGTAGTCTCTAATACCGTAACCCGATGCTAGTTTTTGTCTGGGAAACAAGATACTGTTTGAAAAAGCTGTAGATACTGATGTAGATACTGCTGTAGATACTATATTCTTAAATTTAGTATATTTACCGTAACCTAGTCTTAGAATTACCGTTTAAAATCTTTATTAGACTGCTATATTGATTGAATTGTTATAGTTGCTTAGGTTATCGTAATCTTTAGCCTAGCTTCACTTTTGTTTATTTCAGAATGCTCTTCTTGTTAGCATTGTTACCGATTGTGTCTGCTTATCCTCAATATCCAAGATTTCCGCCGTCAAATGGAGGATTTCAGGTATGAAAAGTCATAATAGACTTTAAACTGAATAGACTTTAAACTGAATAGACTTTAAGCTGAATAGACTTTAAACTGAATAAACTTTAAACTGAATAAACTTTAAATTGAATAGACTTTAAACTGAATAGACTTTAAACTGAATAGACTTTAAATTCATTGTGAAAACTTTTGAAAGAGCTTAGGAATTTAGTTTCGTACTTTTGTAGTAGTTTTACAAGATACTGCACACCGTATTCTACTAGCAGACTTGGATCCAAGTGCTGAGAACTGTGTTTTGCGTTGAGTCGAAGTCAAATCTTCTGAGTCAACTGTAGTTTCTGAACGTTGGTCTGACTTTGATCTGACTTTAGCTCTCTCTTTGAGTCCAAGTTAACGAGCTAGATCAAATTTACTCTAACCTTTGTGCTGATTCTTAGATTTGACAAAACATTACGTAGTTTCCAGGGTGGTTTCCCGGCGCCAAGTGGTTTCGGTGGACCAATGGGTCAAGGTGGACCAATGGGTCAAGGTGGACCAATGGGCCAGGGCGGGCCGATGGGAATGGGAGGAATGGGTGGAGTACCACCTGTGCCAAAGGTATTGTCTTTCTTTCCAAAACTCTCATTTAATACTTTAGTGATAAAATACTGTAATCCTAGTATTGTCCTTTAAAGCCAATGCACCGTAATCCTCATGCGTTCAGGAGCTTCCACCCGGTTTCGAGAGCGTTCTCCCAACCGACAAATTGGAGGAGCTGAGGTCGATCCACGAAAGCACAACACTGTCAAATGAGGTTATTAAGAATAAGAAGCTGATTCAAATTGAATTCGACTTCAATTCGAATTCAATTCCAATCCATTTCCAATCCAATTCGAATCCAATTCCAATTCAATCCCAATTCAATCCCAATTCAATTCCAATCCAATTCCAATTCAATTCCAATCCAATTCGAATCCAATTCGAATCCAATTCGAATCCAATTCGAATACAATTCGAATCCAATTCCAATTCAATCCCAATTCAATCCCAATTTAATTCCAATTCAATTCGAATCCAATTCGAATCCAATTCGAATCCAATTCGAATCCAATTCGAATACAATTCGAATCCAATCCCAATTCAATCCCAATTCAATCCCAATTCAATCCCAATTTAATTCCAATTCAATTCGAATCCAATTCGAATCCAATTCGAATCCAATTCGAATCCAATTCCAATTCAATCCCAATTCAATCCCAATTCAATCCCAATTCAATCCCAATCCATTTCCAATCCATTTCCAATCCAATTCCAATCCAATTCCTAATTCAATCCCAATTCAATCCCAATTCAATCCCAATTCAATCCCAATTCAATCCCAATCCATTTCCAATCCATTTCCACTCCAATTCCACTCCAATTCCAATCCAATTCCAATCCAATTCCAGGATAAACATGATCGTATCGATAAATTGTTGACCGCTTTACCAATCGAGATTCTTGATCGATTGCCGATAAATCCGGCTTTGGATAAATTGCCAGATGATGTAAAGCAACAGATTAAAACGATCACGAGAGATCGAGTGAGTTATTTAGAAGCATTATTCGACTCTAGAACTCTAGAACTCTAGACTAGACAATACTTTATGCCTTAAAACACAAATTCCAGCACAAATTCCAGCAAAAAGTTCACCTTAAAGCCTAAAATTTTCGTTAAATGCCAATTTTCAGCTAAATGCCAATTTTCAAGTTCAAACTTTATCCCTTTTCAGTCAATCGATTGGCGCTCAAAGATGCAAAGAGTGCAACAATACATTCAATCTTTACCTGAGTCGATCAAGGTGTGGATGAAGAGATTGAGAGATGGATTATTCAATGATTTAGTGATGATTGTTGAAGGAAAGAGATAGGAGAATAAAAATTATTGAAAATTATTGAATTCTTGAAACTTCTTGAGAACTTTAAGTGATTTTAACGCTTTTTGTTTTGAGTGAGCTACCCTTTCCCCCAAAGCTTTTGACTAACAAATGAAATTTTCAGCGTCTTCTTCCACCACCGCCACCACCTGGATTTGAATATTTGCCTGAAGATGCTAAGGTGGGGATTTTTTAAATATTTTTGAAGATAACAGAAGATAACAGAAGCTCAATGGTGCGCCAGATGGCGTGGGTTTAAGCCTTTCATTCACGTCTCCTGAAGGCCTTGAAAATAGGCCTTCAGTTCAGTTACAGAAAGTTTAAACGCAATCTTTCTGGCGCACTAGACTAAGAATTTATCTATTTACCGTATTTTCTCTAATAGTAGTGCACCCCAGCGAGCCGAGTTGATGACTATTTTACGGTTTCCAAGCTTTTGCAGAAGCTCAAAGAAAATGCGATTAAAAAGTGACAAATTATGTTAATATTCTTGTGCTCAAATACCGTATTTTCTCTAATAGTAGTGCACCGAAGCGAGCCGAGTTGGTGACGATTTTACGGCTTCCAAAGCTTTCCCAGAAGCCCCAATCCTCTAATCCCCCACTAGATCTCATCGTCAGCTACATTTTCCGCCCCCACATCGATAGGTTTTGATAAGCGGTTCTCGAGATTTCAAGGAATTTAGGCGACGCTCAAGGTGCACTAGTATTAGAGAGAATACGGTATCTATCTATCTATCTATCTATCTATCGATCTATCTATCTATCTATCTATTGGTTGGGGGGAATTGAGTCGGCGCCGAAAATCAAAAAAAAACCCAAACTTCTATTCGACTTCGTCAAATAATATGCGTTTGATATGAGTAGAATGGTTAACTAATTCTCTACAAAATGACATTTAAAAAATGAAAAATTCAAACCTCCGCTCAAGCAAAAAGGGCCATTTTTTCCACAAAACTACAAACTGTGATCTAGAAAAACCATTGGTGGGATCTTCCTGCAAATTTGGCAACTTAAGTAATTGAATTTGAGCTTTTCCTTTTTTTTTATATAAAACAAGAGGGGGTTTTTTTTTGAAAAAAAAAATAAAAAAATGGTTGGTTCGGCCCCTTTTCCTTTTAACCCCCTTTTTTTGGAATTTAAAAACCCCACGAAAGAAAAGCTTTGTGGAATCTCTTAAAAGAAATTTTTTGTGTAGGGAAATAGTGGATCCTTTTGGATGAAACCAAACGTATGTTTAAAGAAGGCTTTATGTGTGCAAAAAGTCCCTTTAAAGTTTGGCGCCGACTCATTCTCCCCAACCCAATACCTAAAATATTATAAATTCGATCTCTAGGCGGCTTTGAAAGCGATCCAGGAGAACGCGGCACTTGGTTTTCGCGAACGATACTACAAGATCAAGGTTTAACATAGAAATTTGAAAAGAATACAATCTCTTTAAAGAATCCAATAAAGCCTCAATATTTTAGGCCTTATCTATCTATCTATCTATGATAAACCTATTTAAGCTTCATAAAGCTATGATAAAGCTTCATATTTTTCATGATATGAATATTTTTGATTCATTTGACAAGCAAGAACCCAATAAATCTCTAGAAAAACTCCTCCAGTAACAGGAAAATCTTTGTGAATCGTAATTGTTTAGAAAATAAGAGGCTGATTGATCTTAGAGGCTGATTGATTTTCGTTAAAAATACTGTAATGAGGCTTTAAAACATTAAAATTTACTTCAATAATGAATTGATCTAAATCCTCAATCACTTTCAGGAAGTGATGGACCGTCTGCCAGCCGACATTCGAGCCAAACTCCCACCACCTCCACCCCCACCACCAATGTTTTAAATATAAAAAAATATCCAATTACAATCGTCTTCTTTGGTTTATCTTTATCTCTGTGATATCATTTTTTAAGTTTTAAAAAATGTTCAACTTACGGGCGGTTATGGAAGCTTTTCTCGTGGAAACGATTTATTTAAAATATTAATTTTAATCAATTTCTTCGAAACACTCCTTACATTCAAAACGACAAAAAAATGGCAGATCGCCGTGGGGCGCTTGCGGCGAGTTCATTCCAAAGTCCAGGAAAGATTAAAAATTAGCTTTGGCTGAAAAAACTTTAATAAATGAATGGTGCTGAGAATTAGAGCTTTCAAATGATATATAATGCTTACAAATGGTATATAATGCTTACAAAAGGTAGATAATGCTTTCAAATGATATATAATGCTTTCAAATGGTATATAATGCTTTCAAATGGTATATAATGGTTTCTAATGGTATACAAAGCTTTCAAATGGTATATAATACTTTCTAATGGTATATAATGCTTTCTAATGGTAGATAATGCTTTCAAATATAATCAAATATCTCTTGCATTTTGGCATTTCGAATTTCATCTCAAATTTCAAAATTCTCGAAAAAGAGGGATAGCTTGCCTGCTCTTTACAATTTTAAAACATTCAATTAATTTATTTCTATTTAAACATTCTATTTAAAACATTCTAAACAGCAGTAGCAATTTTTAGGGAAAAAAAATAGCGCAAAGTATTAGATTCGAAATTCTAAAAGCCTTTTTTTGAGTCTTAATTTAAGTGAAGATCAAATTTTAAAGAGGAAACTAAGAGTATCTGAAGATCTTTTAACGGGGATCATTTTTGATCCTTTATGATAACTCTAGATCATCCAGATTTAAGAGAATGCAATGAATATGCGATGAAATAAATGTAATATGTTTACATTTATCTTGTACTTTCAGCTACAGATAGCTGAGCTTTACCCAGATCTACAGTTATCAAAAGAGCCGGAGCTTCAATTCACAGTAATTCCTGATAGCCAAGAATTGAAAGTCTTGTTCTTAAATCAATCTCGGAAAAGAAAGAATTCGATGTGTGTCGTTTTTGAGAGACGAAAAAAGTATGTCCTTGAAATCGTGATCCACTGGGAACTGGGAAAACCATTTCAATGAACAGACTTTTCACTATAATCATTTTTCTAGATTTTTTTAAATGCATGTTCACATTTTGGGCATTTGTGGGACATTTATGGGCTCAATTGCCTTATTGGCCAGGTAAAATCGCTAACAGCAGTCGTTTAAATGTTCAAAAAAGCTTATAAACTTAAAAAACAACTTCAATTACAATTTTTATCTAAAATTCGATACTGAAATCTTGTCTATGAATCATAAAACATTCAGAGAACTTGGCCACAAGGTGACCGGTGCTGATGAAAACTCTCATCCACCAATGAGCACAATGCTTGAAGCACATGGCATTGAGATCATATCTGTAGGTTTCTTTTTAAACATTGAAACTTGAAAAGCTTTACTTTAGACAAGTTTAGACAAGTTTAGACAAGTTTAGACAAGTTTAGACAACTTTAGACAACTTTAGACAACTTTAGACAACTTTAGTCAACTTTAGTCAACTTTAGACAACTTTAGTCAACTTTAGACAAGTTTAGACAAGTTTAGACAACTTTAGACAACTTTAGTCAACTTTAGACAACTTTAGACAACTTTAGTCAACTTTAGACAAGTTTAGTCAACTTTAGTCAACTTTAGTCAACTTTAGTCAACTTTAGTCAACTTTAGTCAACTTTAGTCAACTTTAGACAACTTTAGACAAGTTTAGTCAACTTTTTACAGAAACTATTCCCTATTTCAGAACTATTCCGTATCTCAACTAACTCCAAGACCCGATTTGGTGATCGTGGGCAAAACGAGAGCTCTAGCTAGAGGCAATCCGATCATTGAATACATAATGAATGAGAAGATTTCATTTGTTTCTGGACCTCAATGGATATATGAAAGCATTTTGAAAGATCGTTGGGTGATCGCTGTTTCGGGAACTCATGGGAAAACATCAACCACATCGATGATCGTGTGGATCATGGAGAAAGCCGGCTTAAACCCCGGGTATTTGATAGGTGAGTCGAAAGACTTATGTTGATTTTTGATAGTCGAATATTGATTATGAGATTTTTACTTTAACCTCCAGCATTGACTCGATCTCTCCCATAAGTTTTAGCAAAACAAAAAGCAAAAATGTCTACAGCGGGCGGCTCTGGAGACAGACACTCTAACGATTGTGCCAAAAAGCTGAAAAGCAATTAAAGTTGAAGAGATTTAAAGCAAAAACAAGTTCGGAAAGGACGAGAATCGTACCTGACAGCCTGCTTAAAGTGAGGGTAATAAATGGAGGGTAAAAATCGAGCCCGATTCCAAGTGGGAAAATATTTCACTTGGAATCGGCCTCGATTTTTACCCTCCCTTTAAGGCAATCGTTTTGTAGACGGACAAAAACCACTTCGATCACTCCCGCCGAAGACAAAAACCGGCGTGGCTAAGTGGTTTTTCTGATTTTTACGGGGTTTGGCTGGGTCCTTGAAAAAGCGAGGGAACCAATTTGAATCTCGTACCGGATCGTACCCATATCCGCAGCAGGTCTCCAAGGTGAACAGCCTCTAGTCGATCGAATAATGTAGGTAAGGGAAGTCGGCAAATTAGATCCCGGATACGGAGATTTGTACTCTTCTGAGTGCATCGGGCGGTAACGCAAATGAACTCGGTGACACCTAGCTAGGCCCGAGCCAGAGTTCTCTTCTCTGGTTAAGGAACGGACTCGCTGGAAACGGTTCAGCCGAAGATAGCGACGTTGTTTCCGTAAAGCGTCACGGTTTCTGTGGCGTCTCGTGCGCCTGGCTGGGTCCTTGAAAAACCGAGGGAACCAATTTGAATCTCGTACCGGATCGTACCCATATCCGCAGCAGGTCTCCAAGGTGAACAGCCTCTAGTCGATAGAATAATGTAGGTAAGGGAAGTCGGCAAATTAGATCCGTAACTTGGCTTAGATCCGTAACAGGAAAAGGACTGGCCTGGTCGGGCCGTGGCATGAAGTGGGTACGGCTTGATCGGGGCTGGGTGACGCTTTTGTGGAGCTTGGCCTCGTGTCGGGACTGTCCCGTGGACTGCCGCGGCTGCGTGCATGGTCTTCGGGCTGTGTGCTTCGGCCGGCGTGAAACAGTCGACTTAGAACTGGTACGGACACGGGGAATCCGTGGCTAAGTGGTTTTTCTGATTTTTTTACGGGTTTTTGATGAAAAACCTATTTTGCCCAAAAGTATTTGTCTTTTTATTTTTAATTTCCTATCGATTAAAAAAAAGTTTGTTAAAATCGGTTCATGGGGAGCCGAAATCCCAGAGTGTGACGAACAGATGGACGGACGAACACTTCTCTTTTATATATAGTAGATAGAATAGATTACCGTTTGACTTTTCGTTCGATTACCGTCGATTTTTCGTTTGGATTCCAGGCGGTGTCCCTGTGGGCCTTCCTGGTTCAAGTCGTCTCAGCCAAGAATCACCATATTTTGTGATCGAAGCCGACGAGTATGGGACGGCTTTTTTCGATGAACGCCCAAAGATGTTGCTCTATTACCCGAAAACGCTGATCATTAACAATCTTGAGATGGATCACGGGGATTTCTATGAAACATTAAAGGAGATCGAGATCCAGTTTGATAATCTCGTCAAGTAAGTTTGATAATTTTGATTAAGCTATGATTAAGAACATTCTGAGCTATGATTTGTCTCGTCGAGCACGTCGAGCTATGATTAAGAACATTCTAAGTTATGATTCGTCTCGTCGAGCTCGTCGAGCTATGAATAAGAACATTCTGTGAATCTCTTATTTTATTGAATCTCTATTAGAATGATCCCAAGCAATGGATTGATTGTGCATCCAACTGGAAGTGCTGCAATTGATAGAGTGATTAGTGATGGATGCTGGACGAGAAGGGAGACAACTGGAGGAAATGGAAAGTTGGAAAATGAAAATGGAAATAGAAATAGAAATAGAAATAGAAATAGAAATGGAAATAGAAATAGAGCTCTTATTTGATCATTTCCTTATTTTGTTTTTATTTGGACAACAAAGCTTCTCTTGTCTGATGGTTCTTCTTTTGAAGTCTTTCAAAATGGGAAACTTCAAGGAAAAATTGAATGGGATTTGATTGGAGATCATTTTGTTTCAAATTCTCTCTCTGCTATTGCCGCTATCAATCATATTGGTGTAAGGTAAGTGATTTAAATGACTATTACTATTTAAATGACTAATAGAGAATAAAATTTAAGCTCTACTATCTCAATTTAGCTCTGCTATCTCAATCAACGCTCTACATTCTTTTAAGCTTCCTAAAAGAAGATTAGAAAAGGTAAAACAAAGCTAGAAGTTTAATAACTAACAAAGCAACAAAGTAACAAAGCTAAAAAACAACAAAACAACAAAACAACAAAACAACAAAGCAACAAAGTAAAAAAGCTAAAAACAACAAAACAATAAAGCAACAAAGCTAAAAAACAACAAAACAACAAAACAACAAAGTAACAAAGCTAAAAAAACAATAAAACAATAAAACAACAAAGCAACAAAGCTAAAAAAACAACAAAACAACAAAGCAACGAAGCTAAAAAGCAATAAAACAATAAAACAACAAAGTAACAAAGCTAAAAAAACAACAAAACAACAAAACAACAAAGCCACAAAGCTAAAAAACAACAAAACAATAAAGCAACGAAGCTAAAAAGCATCAAAACAATAAAACAACAAAGTAACAAAGCTAAATGTTTAATAAACAACTAAAAAAACCGATTTAGTTTGGTCAAATCGGAAATATCGAAATTATTATTGATTATGGTCATCATCCAACCGCATTTCAAGCTAATTTAAAAGCATTACGAAATAAATATGGAAAAGATACAAAAATCTTTACGGCTATTGATCCATCAACTGGTTCACTCAAGTAAATTATACTATTTTCTTTTTAGATTTAAAAGATTAGGCTTGGAATTCACCAAGACACAATGCTAGAAAGCACAAAAGAAGCCGATTTTGCATATTTTTGGAAAACGGAAAAACTTCATTGGGATATTGAGAGAATTAGGAGACAATGTGAAGAAGATTGTCGATTTGAGGTCAGTCGAGAATCGTCAGTCAAGAATAGTTTAAGCTGCTTAGTTTAATTTGTGTTTATCTTTTAGATCTATTCATCAGTTGAGGAAATTATTGATCATTTCCTGAAATCAATCAACAACAATGTGACTGAAAGAGTGATTTTCATTGCTTTCACGTGAGTAAACTGAGAAATCAGCTTTAGCTTAGGCTTAGGCTTAGGCTTAGGCTTAGGCTTAGGCTTAGGCTTAGGCTTAGGCTTAGGCTTAGGCTTAGGTGCAGGCTCAGGCTTAGGCGCAGGCTCAGGCCCAGGCTCAGGCTCAAGTTCAGCTTAGCTTTAGCTTTTAGCTTTAGCTCTTAGCTTTAGCTTTAGCTTTCAGCTTTAGCTTTTAGCTTTCGGCTTTAGCTTTAGCCTTTAGCTTTAGCTTTCAGCTCTTAGCTTTAGCCTTTAGCCTTTAGCTTTAGCTTTTAGCTTTAGCTTTAGCCTTTAGATTTTAGCTTTAGTTTTAGCTTTAGCTTTAGCTTTCAGCTTTCAGCTTTAGCTTTTAGCTCTTAGCTTTAGCTTTCAGCTTTAGCTTTAGCTCTTAGCTTTAGCTTTAGCTTTTAGCTTTAGCTCATTTTTTAACTTATTTTCATCAATCATCATTTAGATCTTTTGCTTTTGACAATCTACCACAAAAACTCTTTAAAAACTTACAAGATGGAGTCACAGGAAATGAGAAAAAAGAGCTTTAATTGTTAGGGAAAATAAAGCAAATTGTAATTGAATTTATACTTTACATAAAATAAACTTTTTATTCATTAGTGGCTCTTTCAATCTTCACTCAAGAAGATTTAAAATTCAATCTTCACGTTTCGATATTCAGTATTGTTAGGTGTTTCTTTATCGAATTTCATGATGATTGTTTCTGCTACTTTGCTCGGCCTTTGCTTACCGTATTCTCTCTAATAGTCGTGCGCACTACTATTTTTTGAACCCCCTCCTGGACCGCAATACTATTAGAGAGTGTACTACTATTAGTGAGAATACGGTATATGTCCATTAAACTTTTAATGCTTGTACTTATTTATGATTTTTTTTTCTGAGAAAATAAATATCATTGACAAGTGAATGACACAGGAAAATCATGAAATTACTTTTCTAAAAGAAACACTCGAAAAAATGCTGATAACAAGCGCTCTTTCTTTTGCGAATTCAAGAGAATACTTCAAGAGAATTCAAGAGAATTCGATCAATACTCTCTCAGAGGAAATTTTTGGATTTTATGCCTTGTCTTATCTTTTTTATATTACCAAAAGAACTGTAAAGTTTCTTGAATTGTTTTGAACAACTATTAGCTTTCTTAGATTTCTGGGAACAGCTGAGGACAGCCTTTTTTCACCTTCCATCTCCTTCCTTCTCTTATTAACTTATTTCTCTGAAATTTTCCCTTTTAGCTCTAAGATTTTCACTTCAAATATCTTCAATCATTTCTTAAAAGAATTTTAGTCCAATGCCGGCTGGTTTAAAAGCTTTTACAAGTGAGGGAGTGGTTGCCGATGTGATCCCCGTTCCACCAAAATGTGTCCTTGATGTCTCCTACAATAGTGGGGCAAAGGTTTGCGAAATATTCTTATAATTGTTTCCTTTGCTCAAGTTTTGTTTTCTTAAATTATAGACCGATTTTGGAAATGAATTGACGCCGACCCAAGTCAAGGACAAGCCAACAGTCACCTGGGAAAGCGAGGCCAACGCTTTGTACACCTTGATTTTGACGGGTAATCGACTTTGGATTTAACGATTCTTATATACAGTCGACTCTCGATTTAACGATTTGCTCGGGAGCAAAAATTTAGATTTAACGATTCTAAAACGTGCCCTGAACGGCCAGCGCTGAGCACCTACGCAGAGACGCAATCTTCGCTATTCAGGGCACGCAGAACCGCCCGTTGGTTGTTCAGGGCAGCTACGCAGAAGCGTTCGTTGGCCGTTCAGGACAGCTACACAAAACCGAATTGTTGGTCGATCAGGGCAGCTACGTAGAGACACAATCTTCGCTATTCAGGGCACGCAGAAACACCCGTTGGTTGTTCAGGGCAGCTACGCAGAGAGGCAATCTTCGCTATTCAGGGCACGCAGGAACACCCGTTGGTCGTTTAGGGCAGCTACGCAGAAGCGCTCGTTGGCCGTTCAGAACAGCTACACAAAACCGAATTGTTGGTCGTTCAGGGCAGCTACGCAGAGAGGCAATCTTCGCTATTCAGGGCACGCAGGAACACCCGTTGGCCGTTTAGGGCAGCTACGCCGAGACGCAAGCTTGGCCATTCAGGGCAGCTACGCAAAAGCAAGGGCGTGGTTTAGAATTTAAAAATCGTTGTATCGACTGTATGTCGAATAAAAATAAAGAAAACCAAAGCCCTAGAAAGGCCCGATTTCAGATCCGGATGCGCCATCTCGAGCGAATCCAGCTATTCGTGAGTGCATGCATTGGGTTGTTGTAAACATTCCCGGCAGTCACGTAGATCAAGGTGACGAGGCGGCCGAATATATTGGATCTGGAGCTCCAGAGGGCACCGGTTTGGAAAATCGGAAATCCGAATATGCAAATTGGGAAGAGCTTTAGGCCTTCACCGTTACGTTTTCCTTCTATACAAACAAAACGGAAAAGTCGATGCTGGTTTTAAGGTGAAATTTTTGAAAACATTTATTTGAGAATATACAGGGTGACCAGAAATAACGTTGCGGCCTAATTTAGCCTATTTTTTTAAAAATCCAAAAAGATTTTGTGACAGAAACAATTTTTTATTAACAACATGATATAAAGAGAGCATAAAATCGACTTTTCTTCAAAGTGGCCACCTTTGGCTCCGATGCAGAGCCTCAAACGCTTGATGAAATTTTCGGCGATGGGCCGCTGCTCGGCCGGAGTGATTCGATCCCATTCCCTGGTCAACGATCGCTTAAGAGCCTCCAAACTTTTGTGGGGTTTTGCACAAGCCCTTGCCTTCAAAATTAACCAAAGGCTGTAGTCCAACGGATTGAGATCGCACGAATACGGAGGCCATTCCAGGTCGAGATGAAATCCGGAAAGTTTGTCCTACACCAGTCCTGTGTGGATTTGGCTCGATGGAAGGAGCGGAGTCTTGTTGGAAGTTCCAAAATCCGTTACCAAAATGCTGTTTAGCCCATGGTAGATCTGCCGAAAATCCCGCAATGTTATTTCTGGTCACCCTGTAGAACTGAAAGTTAGAGTGTAGAAAATTTATTTTTTAACTTTACTTATTCATGCCATTCTTACAATTTGTTGAAACGAAATAGCGTTGTTTCTAAGTAAACTTTTTTAGATTCGAAAAAACTCCGCTGAAGGCCGAAAAAATTGGAGTGCTGCCGCTTTTGCTGAAAAACATCATTTAAGCTTAGTGGCCGGGAATTTCTATCAAGTAATCAAAGATATAAATCAAGAAAACTTTCAATTTTTCAGGCTCAATACGATGATTATGTGCCCATTTTGCACAAGCAACTTTCTGGACAGTAAACTGCGTTTGTATTTTTTTTTTTAAAAAAAAAAATACCGACTGGGGTGAATTTATCGCATACACGAAATATATCAATCACAATACAACGACACACACAATACTAGGCTATATCTTAACTTAACCCACGTCATGACAGACGGCTCCCTAACCCTAAGCTCAATGGGGAACTAAATAGCTTTTTTGGTGGTGAAGGGAAGATGACGATGAAGGAGTGGCTTGTCACTTTAAAGAACTGGGGCCACAACCACCAGACTGCCCTCCAGAAAACCTCTCAACCCGAAGGGAAAGGAAATCCGAAGGGGGTGACCATGTCGCATGTGGGGTTCGAACCCTCGACCTTCCGATTAAGATAAAAGACACTTAACCAGTCAGCCACACGTGCTCACGTGTATTTTGTTCTTTTCTTGTGAAAAACGATAAATGAGATCAATATACAGTTGACGATAGTAAATGACGATAGTAAATGACGATAGTGAATGACGATAGTGAATGACGATAGTGAATGACGATAGTGAATGACGATAGTGAATGACGCTCGATAGTGAATGACGCTCGATATTGAATGACGCTCGATAGTAAGCCATGCTCAATTCTAAGCCATGCGCAATTGTAAGTCATGCTCAATTGAAAGTCATGCTCAATTGTAAGTCACGCTCGATAGTAAATCACTTTTGGAGAATCCCTCCAATGGTAAACACGTGTATTTAACGCTAACTGATGTGCTGGTGTGTCTGGTGTGTCTATTGGTGACGTCATACTTTCAATGGTTTTCGATGGGCCAAAAGCCGCCCCACCTTTCCCATATCACAGAGATAACTTGATCAATTATCAATAGCATTTCAAAGAAACGATGATCTTTATGCGTTCGATGTGCGCGGAAAATGATAACATTCAGCATTTGGCTGAATGTTATCATTTGGGTTTTCAGTTTGATTCTCTTTGAATTTTGTTGTCTTTCTCAATTGTCTTTCTCAATGATGCCAAATGCTGAATGTTCTCATTTTCCGCGCACATCGAACGCATAAAGATCATCGTTTCTTTGAAATGCTATTGATGATTGATCAAGTTATCTCTGTGATATCTTTTGGCGAGAGGCTACATACGGTTACGGTAACTTTTCTCGTGTAAACTATTTATTTAAAATCAAAATTTGTAAGAATACCTTTTGTAGCAATATGTACATACCATCGGGATTTAGAATATCAAAATGAAAAATGAAAAAAAAAGAAAGCAATTTCTATTTCTTGAACTTTTGCCCAGCTTTAAACCACTTCTCGGCTCCTTGATTTTCAGCGAAAATCTAGAAATTTGATTGAATTTGATTGAATTTGGTTGAATTTGGTTGAGTTTTATTGAATTTGATTGAATTTGATTGAATTTGATTGAATTTGATTGAATTTGGGTTTTTTTTTTTTGATTTGGTTGAATTTGATTGAATTTGATTGAATTTGATTGAATTTGGTTGAGTTTTATTGAATTTGATTGAATTTGATTGAATTTTATTGAATTTGATTGAATTTGGTTGAGTTTTATTGAATTTGATTGAATTTGGTTGAATTTGATTTGATTTGGTTGAATTTGATTGAATTTGGTTGAGTTTTATTGAATTTGATTGAATTTGATTTGATTTGGTTGAATTTGATTGAATTTGATTGAATTTGGTTGAGTTTTATTGAATTTGATTTGATTTGATTGAATTTGATTTGATTTGATTGAATTTGATTGAATTTGGTTGAATTTGGTTGAATTTGATTTGATTTGGTTGAATTTGGTTGAATTTGATTGAATTTGATTTGATTTGATTGAATGACATCTAATGTAAATCTAATTTTAAAATTTATATAAAACTTGTAATTGGAGTCTTTTTTTTGGAGTGATTGAAGTCTTTACCTCTTTTCCTGATTCACTTAATGCTAAAATTTTGAAGGTTGACGGGAAGAGCCAAGCCGCTTGGTTCTGGATTCGAAGCTGGTAGTAGCTAGAAAATCAACAATAAAACATTGATTTATTTAGAATATATAGAATAGAGTATTTAGAATCCATGAATCTTCAAGAATCCTTGAATCTTCAAGAATCCTTGAATCTTCAAGAATCCTTGAATCTTCCAAAAACCATTATTCATTAATCCATTCTATCTCGAAAAACTTTACCCATTGTCCATTGGCTCAAAATGACCGGCATCAATGGCGGGTAGGCCGGCACGGGGACACGGTGGGACAAGGATATCCCAATCTTCTTCGGGTAAATCCTGAAACAAATCCTGAATTATGAATTTGTAAAATAGTAGATAATATTTAAATGCTGAAATATTGCTTATAAGAGATGCTATAAGAGATGCTTATAGATTCCTTTTACAAGTGAAACTTTTTCCTATTCATTCCTATTCCTATTCCTATTCATTACAAGTTAATTCCTATTCATTTCAAACCTTATTCGTGGTGAAAGCGATCCCGTACATCAATTCGGAATCATTTTGTGTGTAGAAGATCAATTTCTCACCGGCTTTCACTGGATAAAGCAATTGACGTTCTTTTGCTGAATCAATTTGATAAAAAAATTCGATTTTAGTTAGAAACTCACAGGCTGGTATGCTGATTTTATGCAAATTCGTGTGATTTGGCTCTCCGACTTTTGGAGACCAATACTTTTCCTTTGGAACTGGTTCGGGCGCTGTTAATACCTCGGAGTCTTTTAGAGTACCACCGTATCTAAATCGAGTATTGTACAGAGTCAGGAAAAGTCGGATCTTTGTCTTAGTTCTCCTGGCTTGCTAGGCTAGGACCTGGCTTCTGGAAATTATCTTGCTTTTCTGACCTATTCTTTCTTTCTTTCCCCTTGGTTTTCCTTCTTTCTCTTGGTAGTTAAGGTAATGGATAGCTTAAGGTAATGGATAGCTTAAGGTAATGGTAATGAATTGGTTAGAGCAATTGCTCGGAAAGCAAAAGGCAAAAGGCGGATAAGCAAAAGCCCAGGTCGAGGGTTCAATCCTTTCTCTGGAAATCGACTTTTTCTTGCTAAACCCTTCACTTCTTTACTACATGAAGTGAACAAGAACATTACTTGAATGAATTAGATTAGATTAGATTAGATCTTAACTTGAATGAATCGAAAAGTAAACTGACTTTTCGGGTAGAGACTCCTTTCCGAGTAGCTCTTGCAAGTCATCACGCCAACTTTTCCCTGGAAAGTTTTTGTTTTTGCTCAGCTCAGAATCTCTTTACCTGGGAAAACGATTTTCCCTCTACCATCCTCTGGGATAAAAGGTGAAATGGCTGACCAGAGAATGTTCATGAAACCAGGAGCATTGATCACAATGAACTTGAAAATTGAAGGATAAAGTTGAGTTAAAAGATTCAAAATTTGATACTGATTGAGATTTCTATTAGCGAATAACTATTTCACCTTATCAATCCATTCTCGATAGTGCATCGCCATGAGTTCCCATGAGATTCGGAAAGGGCCTAAAGCACAAAAGTATGGTAACTCACAAATCAGCATTAGTTTGAAAGCTTAAAATTATTAAATACAATAGCAATAGTTAGTTAAACAACTAAATACTTAAATTTTAAGTACTTAAATCGCATTCTTAACTACTAATCGCATTCAAGTCATTAAAAAAGTCTATAAAGTCGAAATTCGATCTAAAGAACCCTAAATTTGGTCCCTAAACGCTTAATAAAATGTTAAGAAACAATGTTCGATATAAAAAACTTCGATACAACGAATACTTCGATCAAAAGAACACTTTTTGAATACGTTAACGCCTATTTCATTTCCTTACAACGAATTATTTACTAAGATTAGGGCAAAACATTTCTGCGATTTCTGCTTTTGACTGAATATCTCATTTTTTTTCTACTGAATTTGAAATGTTTTAAAAATGAGCTTGCTTACTTCTTGCTTCAAGCTTGTTTACAATTAGCTTGCTTGCTTACAATTAGCTTGCTTACTTACAATTAGCTTGCTTGCTTACAGCTAGTTTGCTTCTTGCTTGCTTACAATTAGCTTGCTTGTTTACAACTAGCTTGCTTGCTTGCTTACAATTAGCTTGCTTCCTTGCTTACAATTAGCTTGCTTGCTTGCTTACAATCAGCTTCCTTACTGCTTTACGCAATCTTTTTTTTATCTTAAGTGTGCTTAATGTAAAGTTTTCTTTTTTATTCTTGAATTTTTGAGAACATTTTTATATTTTAGGTGATGGAGCGAGACGATCAATCGATCAATTTGGCTTTGAAGAAGCGAATACTTGATCAATCAACTTCGAAAGGAACGACTGAATTGGCGAAGGATTTCGAATTGACGCGATGAAGAATATCAACAAAGGAATAGGTCGGTCATTTTAGAAGCGAAGAAGGAGCTACAAAAAGCGCACGATTGAAGACGAGTAAATACGAAGCAATTGAAGAATTTGTGCTTATTTCTTTGAAGCAAATCCGAAGCCAAAACGAAGCCAAAACGAATGTGTTGACAGAAATGTGCTTCGAGAGAAGCGAGAGAAAGCGATGGAGTTGGCAAGCTTGGAAGGAATTAGCGAGTGGCGGTTGGCTGGATAAATTGAAGGTTGGAGGCGGTTGGCCGTCACGGAGACTTCAAGAAGGCTTCAAGAAGTGTCCAATAAGCGTCCAAGAAGCGTCCAACTTCTTGTTCCTAACTTCTTTTCAAAGTAAATTCGTTATAAAAACTATCGCGAAGTCAAAAAGCCAATGGTGATTTATTTCTATACAACGAATTTCGATATTCTATAGGATATACGTATTCTTTCCGATACAACGAACGCTTCGACCAATCGCTTGCAATTCCTTGTATCAAAATTCACCTGTACTTCTAAAAGACAAACCTGTCACAGTTCCAACCATTGTCGGATCGAAGCTCAACCCATCGAGGTCAAAGATGTAATACGCGTAGCACTGACGTCCCAATCGGGCTTCCATCTAGGAAATTGATTCATGGTACGCTCAACAATCATACCTCCATCAAAATCGATAAAATCTTCTCG